CTTTCCTGCTCCTCTGATGCTGCCTGGCCTGCTGTGTTCCTCCAGCTCCACACTGTGTTATCCATTGTACTGTTTAATGTACGGTGACACCAACAGCGTGGGTTCAGTTCCCACACAGGGTGAGATCACAATGAAGGATGCTCTTTCCCAACCTCTCCCCTCACCTCTCCCCACCACCATCGTCCCTCCCTGTAATGACACAGCAGCCCTATGGTTTGGTAAGACTATGGCGACTTCACCTTTACAATAAAAGAAATGAAAATAACAATTATTTTTCAATACCCACAATAATTGAGCTCCCTGAGTAACTGGATGACTGACTCTGTCTGCCACCTCGTCTTCAGAAACTTCCAAGGAAATAAAATCATTTGAAAATAAAAGAAATGCTAATTATAAATAGTTGTGATTGCTTGATATGTGCTGCATAAGACTTGCTTTTCAAATAAATTCTGAAAACAAGCTGTTGCCAGTCATGTTATTTATGACGCAGACTGATAATTTTTGTTAAAAATTTTATACAAGTGCTTTTTGGGGGATGATGAAATTCATACACTTGCTATATGTGTCGTCTGCTTTGTGATTTTTTGAACTCCCATATCACCGCACCCCGCATCCACACCATATCTCAACACGTAGAAAGTCATATAACCCTTGGAATTTATAGCTGGGCACTCTACAGAAACCATAAGTGATACTGACAGAACACCAGACAATTATAAGGGTGAGTGAGTGAGAAAGACACATTCTAGTATGGCCTTTGCTGCCTGGCTCAGGGATTCCCCTTCAAGAGAACCTGTGTACAGTGAAGACCAGGTTCAGTTGTGTTGAAAGGATCATTTCTTCTGCAACCAATTCTCAGGGGTCAAACTATTACAAATCAAGAAGCCAAAGGCTAAAGTAGCTTCTTGAAGTCCTCGGCCAAGCTGAATTGCGAGCTGAAAGTGGGATTTTAGTTTCCCACCCATACGACCACAGGAGCAGAATCAGGCCATTCAGCCCACCGAGTTTTCCCCACTGTTCGATCACGCCTGTGGTTCTCAACCCCATTCTCCTGCCTTCTCCCTGTAAACCTGGATCCCCTTACCATCAAGAACCTATCTGTCTCTGTCTTACATGCACGCAATGACTTGGCCTCTACATCCCTCTGAGGCAGAGGTCCACAGATTTATCACCCTCTGGCTGAAGAAATTCCTCCTCTCTATATTTGATTTAGTATCAGATTTGAGCGTCCCCTGCCCAGCTGATGTATTGCTAATTGCCATTATTAAATTTCATTTTTTTTTAAAATATAATTTTACAATGGTGTTGTTACTTTTGAAAGAAATTATAAGTTCAAAAGGCAACCAATTACTTAACTCAGTTTGTTCACTGCACTTTGGCCAATGGGTTGTCACATTTCTCTCTCTTCTGCTTCGTCCTGTAATTATGTTTTGGAATGCAAGTGTAAAGACACAATTTGTTTTCCCAAAATTTCTTCCTTTACTATTTAATTGTTTTGTTTTAACAAATCAAAGTTGATCCAGGAACCATAACTACACAAAATCCAATGAATCTGTCAAAGAAAATACTTCAAAGCTTAAGCGAATGAAGGCAGCTCCCAGGAATTTCAGTCACAAATGTTCAGCATTCAACCTTTTGTCTTCTTCAGCTTTGCTTTCACTATCCCAATAATGCTGTCGCTTTCTCAAGTATCAGGAGTCAAAGATCCTTCACGATCATCATGATCATTAATGGTCTTCCTGTCGTAGAAAAAATGCTGCTTTCAGTTTGTGACCAGAAAGCTTCCAGAAAAATTCAAAGTGTAACTAGTCAGATAATTTTATCTTTATTCATTCACAGGATGTGCGCATCGCTGGCTGAGCCAGAAAATACTTCCCAGCCCCAATTGCCCAGAGGGCAGTTAAGAATCAACCACATTGCCATGGGTCTGGAGTCACGTGTAGGCCAGACCAAGTAAGGATGGCAGTTCCCTTCTCTAAAGGAGCATAAGTAAACCAGATGGGTTTTTCCCGACAATCGACAATGGATTCATGGTCATTATTAGACTCTTAATTCTGGATTTCATTTGTTTTGGATATGTTAATTGAGCAATTGCTATTCACAATGAAAACTGGGGGAATTCCTTGGTTTTTCTATGATCAGTACTATTGGTTCTTCTATATTCAGAGAGGACAGATGGAGCTTCACTGTAACTTCACATCTGAACTACAGTACCTCTGAGAGTGCAGCAGTCCTTCAGTACAACAATGGGACTGTTGCCCTCAATCTGTGTGGTCAGGTCCAAGGGTTGCACTGTAGTTTCTCTATGGAGTATACACATCCTAAACTTAGAGTCATAGAGCATGGAAATGTACCCTTCAGTCCAACCAATTCATGCCAACCATATTCCTAAATGAAACTAGTCTCATCAGCCTGTGCCTGGCCCATATCCCTCCAAATATTTCTTATTCATGTACATGTCTAAATGTCTTTTAAACATTGTAACTCTACCCCCTTCCACCATTTCCTCTGGAAGTTCAATCCACACACAAATCACTTCGTGCAAAAAAACTCCCCCTCGGGTCTTTTTTAAATCTTTCTCCTCTCACCTAATAAATGCCCCCAAGTCTTGTAATCCCTTTCCCTCGGGAAAAGACACCTACCATTCACCTTATCTATACCTCTCATGATCTTATAAACCTCTATAAGGTCACCTTCCAACCTCCCACACTCCAGTGAAAAAGTCCCAGCCTATCCAGTCTCTCCTTGTAACTCAAACCCTCCATACCCAGCAATGTCCTGGTAAATCTCTTCTGAACCCTCTCCAGCTTAATAATATCCTACCTATAGCAAGGAGACTAGAACTAGACACATTACTCCAGAAGAGGCCTCACCAACATCCTATATAACCTCAACATAATGTCCCAACTCCTGTACTCAAAAGGTATGAGTAATAAAGGCAAGCATGCTAAATAACTTCTTAACCACCTTATCCATATGTGATGCAAACTTCAAAGAATTATGTGCCTAAACCCCTAGGTCTCTCAGTTCTATGACACTACACAAGGCCCTGCTTTTAATTGTATAAGTCCTGCCTTTGATTGTTTTATGAAAATGCAATACCTCACATTTATCCAAATTAAACTCCATCTGGCATTCTTCAGCCCATTGATTCAACTGATCAAGATCTCTTTGTAATCTTAGATAACGTTCTTCACTGTCCACTATACCATCAATCTTTGTGTCATCTGCAAACTTACTAGCCACGTTTTCTATATTCCCACCTAAATAATTTATATAAATGACAAACAAAAGTGGACCCACAACCGGTCCCGGTCACAGGCCTCCAGTCCGAAAAACAACCCTTCACCATCACCCTCTGTCTTCTG